ACTTTTTTCTTTTTGATTTTTTACCTGGATTACTGAGATGCATCAGGACGTACTAAATGTTAAATAAAATAGGCTATACATCCCTAAATAAACACTACAGTATATTAAATTTAAAAATTAAACATTTAGATGTGAATCAGAGCTCTACATTTGACTTTTAGGAAGGCGGAAGTTTTAGTTTTATTTCATTTGATGATGTGTTAGTTTAAAATCTTACAGCAGCAGAACTATGATGATACATAAATACTAAGGTTGCAACGATACAGAAAATTCACGATTCGGTTCGGTTCGATACTTTAGTCTCACGGTTCGATATTTTTTTCGATACAAAAAAGAGAAATTTCCATGCCCATTTTAACTTGTAATTTATCTAAATTAATTATGAACATTTGTTTAACCTCAAAAGTACAGTTTTTAATTTAAATGTTGCTGAAACAGCAAGTTTTTCAGTGGATCTGCGCTTAAAAATCCAGCCTTGGTGGAGTAGTCGAACACAGATCCACTGATCCTTCAACACAGAGCATCTTCAAGATGAAAAAGTAAATTTTAAAAATCTGTATTGTTCGATACAAGTGTGTATTGAACCTAAAGCACTGTTCGATATGGTTCAATGTGGGTACATGTATTGTTGCATCCCTAATAAATACTGTTTCAGTCACATTGTAATATTTCAGTCTCACCAGGTAAAGAAAGAGCTTCTTACTGAGAGTAACTGAATTTGGTCTCTGTTACCATGATGACCTAACAGGACCTAAAGAAATCCTTCTTTGTGACTGAAAAGTTTAAATTTAGCAGTTGTCTGATCTGTTCTCGTCAGTTTGTATCCAGCTCTGTGGTGATCCACTGACTGAGCATCAGAACCTCATGAACATTTAAGTCTCTGAGTGGAAGAAAAGCTCATCAGTTTATTTAACATTGTTACTCTCTTCCTTGTAGGCTGCTGCACTTTAACTTGTGAAACAACACAACATGCAAACACATCCTCTGGTATTCCTACTGTATATTGTATAAATAATGATAGTGGGCCACCAGGATAGTGCTGTAGTACTTGAAACTAGTCTTGGTCTTAAGACCGGTCTCAAGACCAGTTTTTGATGGTCTTGGTCTTGTCTCGGACTCGATAGCATTTGTACTCGGTCTTGTCTCGGTCTCGGACATTGAGGACTCGAAATTTTATTTCAAGACCAGTCAAGACCACAACTGTAGAAATATCACTAAATAGCCAGACTATTTTCCAAGTTATTTGTTAACAATCTTGCTTTCATTGGATTTAAAATGTAGCTACTGATTCAAATTCAAACCTGACTCATTGCTATTTATGTATTTTTGTTAGCGGCTGTCACCCATCCGCACCCCCTGTCACTCACACACAGCACTCCCAGAAAGTGAACCGTGGTTCCCTGGGAACGGTAAAAGATGTCTTCAAAAATAAAAAAATTTGGCTACATTATTCATAAATAATATCATTAACAACAACAACCAGGAGAAAGCGTACAGCAACTTGTAAATCTGTTAGTACTTTACTTTCAGAGACAGTGGGTACAAACTTTAAACTTTTATCATCACTAACATTAACAATCTGCCTCTGTAGCAAAAGTCTTTCCTCTGCCCTCACACAAAGATTTTGTCAATATTAGCTCTATATATTAAGTTAGCTAAAGTGGGGGAAAAGTATTTAGTCAGCACCAATTGTTCAAGTTGTCCCACTTAAGATGAGAGGTCTGTGATTGACATCATAGTTAGACCTCAGCTATGAGAGACAAAATACTATTTTCCCCACTGTACATGTGTACACAATCCTCCATCTTTTAGGACACTTTTCTTTTAAATCTGGTCTTGGTCTTGTCTTGGTCTCGCCCTCCCTTGGTCTTTGTCTCGCCTTGGTCTAAACCCTAAAAGTCTTGGTCTCGTCTCGGTCTTGAGACACTGTGGTCTTGGTCTTGACTTGGTCTCGGGTTAGGTGGTCTTGACTACAACACTACGTCAGGACCAAAAAATGCCCGAGCCATTTTTTGGTCCCAGCCCAGCCCAGCCCTGGTGACAGGTAAGATATCAGTTGTTCATAACGTCTCTGCAGAAACTCCCTTTGAATTTCAAAAAAAGAAGAAAAAAGTAAACAATCCACTTTTAACGCTTTGACTGTGAGGCATTTGAGAGTTCCAGACCTAAAGTTAATCTTTCATGTTTGTTCATATTTTTCCCTGGATCCCTTTACTTCCTGTACGCATCACTTTTCTTTTAAAAAGACCAACAATAATATACACTCACCGGCCACTTTATTAGGTACACCATGCTAGTAATGGGTTGGACCCCCTTTTGCCTTCAGAACTGCCTCAATTCTTCGTGGCATAGATTCAACAAGGTGCTGGAAGCATTCCTCAGAGATTTTGGTCCATATTGACATGATGGCATCACACAGTTGCCGCAGATTTGTCGGCTGCACGAATCTCCCGTTCCACCACATCCCAAAGATGCTCTATTGGATTGAGATCTGGTGACTGTGGAGGCCATTTGAGTAC